ATGTTTACATTGTACAATCTTCTGGATAATCAGATCGTCCCCACACTGAAAACTGTTATTCAGGTTGCCCTAACAAACCCAGCTAGCAGCTGTAGCTGTGAAAGGTCTTTTAGTGTCTTGAGTCAGCTCCATACCTGGCTGAGAAGGACCATGGGTCAAAGCAAACTCCAGCACCTGGCTGTGATGTCAGTTGAGAAATGCTTGAGCAGACAGAACACCAAAATGTGATAGACAGATTTACCAACCTCAAGGTGAGGCGACATAGGATAAAAGAAAAGAACAAATCTGCAGAGCCATAGTAGTATCTGCAGTAAAGATCTTTTCATACATTGTATACATTGTACCAGAGGCCAAGGTGTCTCAATTTTTCTAATTTTGTAATAATATTTTGTACATTTCAAGGACTCATCTATTTTTGGAGTTACAGACTTTTCAAAAAAGTGTTTTGCTTTTCTTTCACAAATGTGGGGATTCAATTGTGTTAAAATGTACAAAACAGTGATGTCATGTTTTTTGACGAGGACCCAGGGACAGAGAGACTTGATGAATTTAAGAATCTTATGATTTAATAAAGAAATTTGCAGACTTGCACAGAGAGGGTACAATTATGATGAGTGATAATGGAGATGAAGACAACAGACGATGAGGACAGGGAGGAACAGGGGTTTAAATGCACCAAGGAGACAGTCAGAGGGAACTCGGGACAACTGGAGACATTTAAGGATGCAGGGACTGACAGAGACGGGGAAGAAGTCTCATTATGACGAGTAAAGTTTACCTTGCCTGGCAGGGCAGCTCTCTGGGTGCTCAGCACCCCCAAAGCTCTGATCCTAGAATTGCCCCTGTTCAGAGTTACTATTATGCGTTTCGTATTAAGCTGAAAATAAACGCGATTTGTCCCGTACTTCAGCTACAAAAAAAAAAAAAAAAAAGACAAAAAGCTGGAGTTATTCTGCGTCTTTATGCTGTCAGCTGCCTCTTCTTCTCTCATTCTCCTCCCACCCTATCATGCTGCTACTTTAATCACGAAACTGATCAATGATCAGCTGATCGGCATTTCTGCCGCAAGTCCCGTCTCTCTTGTTTGTTTATCTCCCACTTTGCGCCAGAAAGAGGAAACTAGCGGAGGTCGCATTAAACAGCAGAAGCGCTGTTGTTAGAATTTATTTAATATTACTTTCTAGGATCAGCTGATGTTTGCTGGAGCCACAGCTGTAAAGCTGCTGGTCATGATATCGGTTTGGTTTTCTGGTGAGAGGGAAACATGAAGATGAAACCAGGAGATATCCTTACTGAATCATCAGAGCTGAACAGGTGATGGAGAAACAGGTTTACCCTTTAGGTGACATGAATGAGTTGAAGGAAAGTTATGAACTGTTTCTGAGAGACAAATAACACCAAATTTCTAGCTTTTAACAAATAATTATCCGAATCTTACAAAGTTTTCATCTGATGTCAAATGTATAGAAATCCATTATTGTACATAGTAATTTTTTTCAGGGTCCCAACATAATTCCTTCAGGAGAAAATACTGTACACGATGCCAGTATTTTCCCACATTTTCTAGATACTGTACCAGTACTTTGTGTAAAATGCCATCAAAAAGTCAATTAAGTTTTATTCTTTCTCACCTGTTTTTCTGTCTCCTTTCACTTTTTAAAGGTTCCCATGTTAGAAAAAATATTTTGTCCTGCCATGCTGTTTATTGATGTGGTAAATAGTTTATGAAAATGTCACAAAATCTGTCATTTATTATTTTTAATATTCAGTAATGATCATGTCTCACCTCTAGTCTTCTCTGTCTTAATTTCAGGTTTCCACCATATGTTGTAGATAGTTCAGGAGGTTAACTCAACCAAGCAGTCTTTGGGTTTCAGCTAAGTACTGTTTAGAATACCAGAATAGGGAGGATGGTGTAGGTTTAAGTTTATTAGTTTGATACACATATACCAACAAGACAGTGTACATCACTGTGACAACAGCGTTTGTTTTCATTCAAAGGCTTTATGGTTTTTCCTGTCCGGTTGTTCAGTGATGACGCGACGAATCCTACTTCCGGGCCTAAAGTAGTCTGCGTTTAATATGGCTTTTGTGTTGTTAACATTTTCAATGTTATGTATTTTCTTCTATTTGATCTCAAAAAGCTCCTAAAACAGTCAGTGATCACTGTTGACCTCCCTCGGCTTTTATTACCGCTAATCATTTATTTAAGCTCAGTTTTTAAAACCTTAGGATGTAACTACAGCCCAGCCCATGCGGCAGTATATGAATGACTAACCTCGTATTGTGGATGGATTATCTCAGTTGTTCTCCTGGCTGAAGTTTGGTCCTTTTACAATGCGATTACATTTGTTCCTGACCACAGAGAACACTCACGTTAACTTTTATTGAGTGGAAAAAAGTTAGCTTGTTTATATTATGCTAACATAGCTGTGTCGCTAGCGGTCACGTAGCACATCATTATGTACCAGCTAGCCCAACTTCAGTAACCCTACAAACGTCACTGCTGTTTAGTTTTCTGTCTTCATTTATGCTGGAAGTGATAACAGAGCTGTACGTTTTAATTTGTTTCCAAAACCCCGCAGTCAGGACATATTATATTGTATTTAGATAGAAGCTAGCAAGCTAACTCCCTGCTAACTTCTAACTCCGTTAAATGTCATAAATTCCGTTTTCATGGATGCCTGGATGTTAAACTCAGTTGTTACACCTGGTAGAGCAGAACGCTGATCATTTTATTAAAGATGAAAGACTTTAGACAGTTTTTCAACTCTCAGTAATGCCATAGTGATCGTTTGATATATGGACCTGTAGCAGAGTTTAGGTCCAGACACGGCTAGTGACGTCAGACTGAACAACCGGATAATACCTGGTGGGCCGGTCTCTAGTCAAAATGCCCGGGCTGATTTTTTTGTCCACGTCCAGCCCTGCCTGTGAGCAAAAACAAACCAAAAAAACCCCCCACCCTTTCGTATTGGTGGAAAAATGTACCATGTCGACCAATCAGAAATGATATGGCAACATGCCATTTAGTTGTTTAGGAAGAGGGAAGTTTTAGGAGTGACAGCGGTGTTTTGAGATGTGAGAGATTTGCGACATTTAGCGCAAATCTTGTGTAGTTAGTGTGTAGTGTAGTCAATAGTTTTGTTGTGTGCGTCAGAACAATGAGGTGACTAAATGTTACAGGTGTTACAGGAGTGATACATCTCCTGTTGTCAGGCCTGCAGGTATCAGGCTGTTGTTCTCCTTTATCTCATAGTGGACAGAAATTATTTTTTGGAGTGGCACAAATAATTTGTGTGGCATCAAATTGACTATGTGTACGTTAGCATATGCTACTTCCAGTGCGGAAACTCCTGTGGGGAGCTTTGTTTCCGGTGTCCTATTCGCGCCCTGTTTACGGTCCAAAACAAGTTAAGCAAATGAATGCACCAAGCGGCGATTTACATTTCTATAGATGTCTTGGGCATTTACCCAATATATCTGTAAATGATGTTCATCGACTTGTCAATATTTTTTCCCCGCGCCTCAGGGCAAAAGAGAAAATGGATTCAAATGTTATATTTCTCAGCTGTCCCTCGTTTATCGCGGGTGTTATGTTCTAGAAATAACCAGCGATAGGTGAAATCAAGTAGCCAATTTTATTTTTTGACGGTGCAAAACGTTTCGTGGACATCGTGGACATACAGTACTGCACTTCAGAGTCACACTGCTAGCGATCGATGCAGCGATTCTGTACTGTACAGGAGAGACGTCACGGAGGAGATCGTCTGCAGCGATCAGGACGCAGGACACAATGTGACGTAAAAAAAACAAAAAAAACATGCAAACTTGCACTAAAAAATCTGCGAAACAGCGAGGTGAAAGGTGAACCGCGTTATAGCGAGGGACCACTGTAATTTTTAAGGTAAGTCACAACGTACGCTTCGTACATACTAATGTATAGAAACCGTTACCAGCAGTCATTAATTTTTTGTGTGGCTTTTTTTCACGGTTTGTTAACATGCTGTGTGGGTGTGTACTTGACTAGCTGATATCGACATAACAGGAAACATCTGGTTTGACTATTCTTCACCTGTAGTTTGAATGCTGAACATTTGCCTGTTTAAATCATAAGACCAGTCACTATACAGAGATGTGCTTCTGAATGTGGACGAGGTGTCTTCTGCATGCAGTAATGCAGTTCTGCTTGTGTTGAGTGATGTAAACAACTGATCGATCTAAACTCTTTAAACGTCAAAATTGATCATTAGATTTTTTATGACACAACAGTAGTGAGTGTTCCCACCGTTTTCGGTGGATCTTTCTGTTTTCGAGTTTTGGACATGATTTTGGAGTATATCTTCGCAGTAGCGATTGACCGCAAAGTAAAGCTACCGGAAATGTATAACCCCACATCCGGTCTCAAACCAGGAAGTTAGCATTTTCTCGTGCACAGGGTCAATTTGATGCAGAACATCTGATTGTTCTGTAAATAGTTTGAAATGTTTATTTAAAAAACGCCTTGGCTGCATTTTTAGGTACACAGCTGCAAAAAACTTTGTTTGAATTACTCAGTTACTTTTTTGATGAAGTAACTATATAATTAATTGCCCAGCATTGCTCATTATATACTGTATTTTGCAGACAGAGAGTTACAGGACTCTCTCCCAGACCACAGACTCATAATACAAGTCAGAGCTTTATTAAAAATTAAAAAAAATTGGAGTTCAAGTTATTTTTACTTCCAATAACAAGGTCATGAACAAGATTTTTTTTTTAAAATTTTCATAAGCAGTTAATTAAAAGTAGTCTAACATAAATGTAAATGCTGTAATTTTAATAAACCATGTAACTTGCACAGTGCACACGTCTAATTTTGCTCACAGTGGTCCAAGGGACCGCTGAGGGAGTTTGTGTGTTCTCTCAGACACATGAAAAATTAGAGGGAACATTGGTCTGCTCTTGCCCTTTCCTCCGAAACCACAGGGAGTGATTAACACAACATTGCAATGCTGAAATACAGTGCTGCTATTTATTTAGTTGCATGAGATTAAACGCAGGTTTGTTTTGGACATGCCATAGACGAGGAAAAAAGACATTTTGGTAACAACTAAAATCAAGAATCTGCTGGTACTTCAACTTTACTAAGAATAGTAAATCTGCAAGCATTTATGCTGTAAAATTCTATGTGTATTGCTATAGTTTAAAGCTGGACCTGTGTGCCAACAATACTTTGGGATAAAGTTTAGCAAATAGTCAATTCAAAATATTTATTATGTATATTTACACCTGCCCTTCTTCTACAGTGAAATGCTGGTATCATCTTTTAAAAAAAAGAAAAAAAGCTTCATACTGAGAAAGTGTTTATGACCAATTCAGCTTTAAAAAAGTTAAAATGTCTTATGGCGTGCTTTTTTCGGTACCCTCTTCACTTTCATTGCCTTCTGATGCTCTCTCCTCCTGAATGTTAGCAATAGTGAATCCTCCATGGGATGGTTGCTTGTCTTTGTCTTCTTCGGTCATTCCCTCTGCCCAGCTTTCCCAGTTTTGGCTGGTTCTGTGGTTTTGGACTTTGCAGTCAGCCAGAGCCATTAGCTGGTGTGCCTGGCTGGCACTGCAGTTAGGTAGTGGTACCTTGTAGGTGGTGTGGAACCGACGCAGGTCCACTCTGAATGAGCCCTTCTCCAGCGTCATGCATGGTTCAAAGCGAGCGCCCCACTCAATCTCTGTTTCAATATAGGATGTTTTGGCTTGGCACATCATCCCTGTGTTTAAAATAATGACATGGAAGTGCCTGTTAGTTTTGAAGTGAAGTGAAATCACCGTCTTAAACTGAAGTACGCATCATTTGCCACAAGATGTCTCTGGTGTGTTTGAATCCATTCGAACTTACCAAAATAAGAAAGTAGGAACTTGTCATTAAAAGTATCAACTGGCCAAATTTAGATGAGTGATACTGATTTTTTTTTTTTTTTTTTTTGCAATAATTTTTTTTTAATTCTTGAGCTTTATTTTGACATTGACATTAACAATTTCCAACAGCAAAAGTATTGGGGGGAAAAGGAAGGTTTTGATTTTACTAGAAATATCTATGTACAAATTATTTAGTTTGTTTGTTGTTCCTAAAGAGTTTCACCATAAGAAATTATATTTTCTTTTAAACTGAGATTGGAAACACTTTAGCCGGAAGAACAGTTTCTATTTGAACTTGATGCTATCTTGTAAAGATAGCATCACTGAAAGGTTTGAATACCTACTGTACAGTCATGTGAAAAAGAAAGCACACTTTCTTTCAAGTCTAAGGTTTGACACATTATAATTAGAAAAATGGTCTATTCCTTCCAGAATAAAGGAAAATATGATGATTTATTGCAGTGTGTCATTATTTATGTGACAAAAAATGAGCCAAAATGCAGAAGTAGTGGGTGAAAAATATAGTACCAGCTGTCTGACAGCTAAAGCTTTACCCATATTAGGTAATGCAAGAAGATCAGGGTGTTAAGCCCAGCAGCCAAATCTGAAACAGAATAGAAAAAAAAAAAACCCACAGTATTGCAGTGGCCCTTCACTATGCAACTTATTTTGTCTGGACCTTAACATGTTTGAAATGTTGTGCTTGAGCTCTGCAAGAGCTGTGTTTAAACACGTACCTGCAGTCCTAGCTTCAATTTTTCACACACTGCTTCTAGATTTTGCTTCAGTTTTTGTTAAATAAACAATGACACAGCATGATACCATGTGATATGTGTCTGTTGTTATTCGTCTTAATTGATTGATTTTTATTATGGACTAGTATATAAAAAGAGCGGGCACTTTATTTTTCACAGTTGCTGAAGAATGTATGAAACAAACCACAAGGTCATAATTTGCTGCAAGAAAACTATCTAGAATCTTTAGGAACCACGTCAAAAAAAAGCAGTATCAGAAGTTTGGGTTTTTGGTGTGTTATTTTTCACTTTTTTCCACAACGGAAAGTCTAAAATTAAGAAGAAAAAAAAGGGTTTCAAAAAAACCAATAGAAATAAAACTTTTTTTGTTTTTTGTTTTTTAAAAAGCCTAAAAAACATCTGTGGTGACAATACCAGATATTGTCACCACTCTAATAGTTTCAGAATGATGCAGTTGAGCTTGAGCACTACATGGGAAAGGAAACTCAGATGTAGATATGTGATTTTTTTTTTCTATAAAAAACCTTCTGCAAGGTTTGTTTTCCTGCTTTCCATACCAAAAAGATGCCAAATAAGCTGTTAAATATTTACATTCTGACTGCATTGTGGAAAGACAGTTTTCCCATCATTTACCCAGGAAACTGAATGACTTGTTGGCCTTGTCATAAATATAAATATTCCAAGATTTAGAACTTGGCAGACAGACTTGCTCTTGATAAACAATCATAGTTTTAGGGAATTGCACAGTTTACTCATCAGATGCTTCATCAAAGTCTGTTATCTTTTGTGACACTCAACCTCGGTGTGCTTTTACAGCTCAGAAGGCTGGAAATTAAATAAGGGAAAGCTTGTTGTTGCTGTTTCAGTGGAAATTGCTTTTTAAAAACCTTTTAACCTATAAATAAACCTTCTTAATACTTACTAACTCTTAACCATTTATACACAGCAAACCATGACCCAAATGAAGAGTTCTTTAAACATTATAACATTTATCTATTTGACCTGATTATCCACATTCAATAACAACTGTGCAGCCAGCACCAAGGACATTTTTGTGGAGAAACAGTAAACAAAGAATAAGAAACATCTGCAAGTGTTTAACTTCCAGAGGAGGAGGAAACGAACACTATCGCAAATAACCCTCACATGGGCCCCTGAAGTTTCTGCAGCAACATTCTAGGCTGTGTCTGCAAAATCGTAGGGGTATCCAAGGTTTCTGTGTGTCAAAGAGTGCACACAGTATGTGAATACACAGCAAAAGAGCAGGGTAAAACTGAACTGTAATGACTGCATGAGAACCATGGGGTTGGGTGTAGTCAACAGCTGTAAATAATGAGCATAAACCTTAGTTATAGCCAAGTTCAAGTATTACAGAATTTTACCAAGCCCTCTTCCAGAAAAAGTGGTGGGTGAGATTTTTTCAGGTGTGGTTTTTTTGGCAACCATTAAATGTCTGGTCCACAAAAAAAAATCCTTCTTCTGTAGCCCTACAGTGAAGGGAAAAAATCAATGACTGAGAGAATATTGCATCCCAGTTTCCTAATTCTTGAAAACTATTATTAATGAGGCTACTAACTGGCAGTGCAGGGGTAAATGGTTAGCACTGCAGCCTCAGATTGAGAGGGTTGCTCTGGATGGAGTTTTAATAATTTCTCTGTACTTGCACAGCTTTTATGTGGAAATCCCATGCTTCCTCTCACTGAACATGCTTTCTCTCACCTCCTATGACATTCTTGCAAAAAAAAACCCATCTTATTCTCAAAAACAAAGTCAAAGTAAAGTTTTTTGCAGTTGTTTTATATTAAAATGAGACTTTTGGAGGTACGAGTAGTTTCTTTTTGAATGTCAATTACTCACCTGTGGCCTCAACAATTCCTTCTAAAATAACGATGATCTCAAACTGCTGTCTTCTGAGTTGCTCTGGACCCAGCTCCCACAGCGGACTGTCGCAGTCAATATTGTGCCGAATGACTTGAGGCTCCACCAGGAAAAGTCGGTCTCAGCCAGTTTCATAACCAAGGTTAATCTCTGTCTGCTCGAGAGGCAAGAACTCTCCCTCTGCTGTTTGCCGGGACTTGATTAACTTTGCACGAACCTTTGCGTCCACCATGTGACTTTCTCTGAGGTCTCCCAGGCGGAACATCAAGCAGAGCTGGTCATCCCGGTTAGCAATGACACAAGTGCGACTAAAAAGAAGTGTCTCCGCTTGCTTCTTGGGTCGGGATATTTTAACAAACATGCAGCCTACCATGAGAGCACCTATCATGGACCCAACAATGCATTGCGTCATGACCAGCACCACACCCTCGTGGCAGCTGGGAGACACTGTGCTGGGAGACACCATTGATACATAACCAATGGTGCGCTGTGTCTCCACTGAGAAAAGAAGAGCAGAGATAAAATCATCTACACCCAAATAGCAGGGTGCGTGGTCTATGAGGTTTTCTTCAGGGGTGGTGAGTGGCTTCTCCTTTTCTAGGTCACCTCTAAAGAAAGCATTCAAGAAGTAGAGCACAGCAAAGAAAAACCAGGTGACAATGTAGCACATCATGAAGACAAATAAGAACCATCTGTACTGGAGGTCCACAAAAGAAGTAAAGATATCAGACAGGAAACGGCCCCTTTCTGAAATATGACAAAGGTTGACTCGGCACTTTCCATCTTTGGCGACATAGCGAAGTTGTTCTCTTGTTTCTGGAGTGATGGTAGGGGTTTGGTTACTTTCACTCTCTAGAAGTTTACTCCTGGCCTTTGCAAGCTTCTCCATCTCTCTAGCAGGGCTGGATATGTTGCTTTTTGCCGGTGAGAGCGACGTGCTGTGGAGCGGACTGTGGGTAATGACATGAAGGGGACTAATGCAGCCGATTTCAGGCACGCTGAGGGCATGGCGAGGGTAGCGTGAAAGACTCTTGGTCTCCCCGAGTGAGCAACGACGCAAGAGGTCTTGTTCTCTATCTATAAGACAATGAGTATAAGAGGGAAGCAAAGAAATGTTGCTTTGGTGAGGAAAGTCTGTTGTGCTTTTGTGGCGTTGCCTTGCTGTTTTAAGGTCAGAAAAAGTCCCTAGCATGATATCTGAGAGGAAGCATCATGTCTGTATCTGGCTGGAAGGGGAAAGAAAAGTGCATTTTTAGTGTGCTTGCAAATTCATGAAGGTCATTTCAGTTCACTGGGATAGACTCCAGCTTCACTGAGGCTAAATTAGGTCATGGCTGAATGGTGGGAAAAACACAGGAGGAAAAGCAGCTACATGGTAAATCTTGGGGGAGCAAACATTTTTTTGAACTTGTTGACTTAGCTTTTAGTGACTTTTGTTGACTAAAAGCTTACATGACATTTTTTATTTCACCATTCATTAACCGCACAGAGAAGGCATTGTTTAAATATGTTAACGTTTTCTTTAAGCAAACAGTATTATTAAAGTTCTTCATGACTGGGCCAAGTGTCCTTTTTTTTGGAAATCAAAATATGAATCACCCTATTAAATCAGTACTTCGTAATACAGCCCACAAGTACAGGGATAATGTAAATATGGTCTCCTGAGAACTGAGAAAAAACTTTCAGTTTAACTAACTTTTGTGATTCCCTGCCTCACTGGGGCTAAAAGAGACCACCCAAACACATGAGACATCATTGGAAAGGCCACATCAGGACTTAGTCAAAATAAGAATACGGTTGATTGGTCAAAGACTATTTTGTTCTGGGAGTAAGTGCTCGGAAAAATGTCACATTCATAATATTATCACACAAGGGCAGACTGGAAAAGACTGTGTGTGACCAACTTGTAAGATTTTTTTTATCACAAAACTTTCAGGTTTGACTTTACAAAGACATTTGGGGGGGAAAAAGTTTGGAAAACAAAACTCACTGTCTTAAATTTATTGAATAACTCTTGCACCTAACCTCGTCCCCCGAAGGTGTGGAATGGACAACCATGACAGATTTCCGTTGACAGGGCATAGATGTTCGCCGTCCCCTCGTCTCATTCTGGGTGGTTGTGGGAGGTCCCATGGCTACCGTACTAATTTATGTTAACTTGGAGCCAGGACAGCATGTCCTCTTCAGATTATAGTCTTTTCTTCCAGTAGATCACATCAAAGAAATCCAAAAGCAAAAAACACTTGCAGCAGATAATTGTGATCGAGTGCAAAGTCTTCCCATTGATTGTAAATACTAGAACAAAAGACCAGATTTTCAACAGGGTTTGAACTTTTAAACATGCAATAATAGAGTTAACACTATTATTCTTGCTAGCACCATCGTGACTGGCAATAAAATTCCGAGGTATTTCTGGATGACTCACAGAGTAAATTAATCCAGTGCTTACTTCCAGAATGAGCTATTCTCTGAGTCACTCTGTGGCGGCCAGATTCAAAGCATTTCCCTTTAAAGCAATGTTTCTAAAGAAAAAAAAGGAACACTGACGAGCAAAACACACTCAAACAGAAAGCATTAGCTAGATAAGCTGGACTAAGCCTAATCATGCTGTCTCAGCCTTCTGCAGAGTAGGGTAGAGTGGACTCAGCTACTGTCTAGTTCAAATAATCCTAAAAAGGCTAAAAATCTAAAAATGACTAACGCGACAGAAAGTTTGGAAATGTGCCGGAGGTCACATAGGCCTATAGGCCTATGTGACCTCCTTTATATATAACTTAATATATATATATTATATATATTAAGTTACCAGGGCGGCGGGGGATTCTGTGGCTGGCTGGAGCAGCATCTAATAACCAACTCAAAAAATAAAACAAAATAAAAACAAACCAACAAACACGAAAACACGAGACCTTATGAGACAGACTTATAATTTGCACCGATGTTTTTTCGAAATTCTATACGCGAAAAGTGAGCGCGAGAGCCCTCGGTGCCCCTGCGCGCTGCTGAAGTCAAAGTAAACTTTATTGTCATCTCCGCTACATACAGTCCAGTATATAGAGAGACGAGACGACGAGGCTCCAGTTACAGCAGTGCAAGTAAACAAACAACAAATATAAGAAGAGTAAGAAAATAAATACACACTTTAGGACTCGGGGTAAAGGGATCAATAACAATTTAAAATTTATAATTTACAGTTTGATGATCTCACACACAACCTGTCGACAGGGGAGGGAGGCCGGCTGCTTCCAGATAGAGCACATTTCATTCATAATGATGTAAATCCAAGCCCATTATGTATTCATGATCTGAATCCTGGCTTGTGTGAAATCCCAGAAATGACCCTAGAGAAAGTGAATCTGTGAACTAGGTGTAGGTCTATTAGGTTATGTTGTGGTGATCCTCGAGTTGGGGGATTTGTGTTCATACTGGAGTGCAAAATTAAAATCAATGGAAGATGGACAAGAAAAGTTCAAAGCCAGGTGCTCAGTTTAGAAAAAAGAGAAAAGAAGAGGAGGAGAAACGAGCAAAAGATGCAGGTAAGCAGATGTGTCATTGGATAATGGCAGGTATCCTGAAAGAATCAGAATACTTCATTAATCCCTAGGGAAATAATGTGGGTTACAGTTGCTCCAAAGAGAAATGGTAAAAAACAGTAACAGTAACAGACTAAACTCCAAACAATACATTATGTTACAGATTTTAATATTAATTAGTCAGTGTCAATTGTTGATTTGTCCTGTTCTCATTGTATGACGAATTATGATGGGTGTTTGGTAGCCGTTTGCATACAATGCATACTCTCTTCATATGTGTGTTTGTGTCTCTGGTGAAATTCAGTATGGTTCTGACAACAGTTTTATGTTAATGTACAATCCTTAACCCTTTAAGACCTACCATAGAACCAAGTTCGCCAGAGCTTATATTATATTTTTACATGCTGTGGAGCCATTTTTGGGAGCATTTCAAGTTGCTATACATCAATACAACCATTATAGCCCAAACTTTAATAATATGTCTGCATTAGGTGCATAGTAATTACATAAATTGCAAAAAAGTGCAATAAACTACAAAAAAATTGAAAATCGTTTTTGTTTTTTTAACATATATTTCTAGTTAGAGAAATTTAAGAGGCTCATCCCTCAAACCTGTAAATACAAAAAAGTTACACAAACTAGTTTCCCACCACAGGAAATTTATTTTGAGTGTCTTCATAGTTTTATTTTTGAAATACACCAATTTTTATATACTGCAGGAAAAACGAAAATAAATATTATAGTGCAAATTTGCAAAATAACAGCAAATGCATCAAAATAAACTATTTCCAGCAGTGCAATATGAGTCCTAAGCATCCCAGAAACGACACAGAAAGTCATAAACTCAAACATAACTTTTTAAAACACATAACAAGTAAAACACAAGCTCAAAAGGCCCCGATCGTAAAAAACTACATTTCCGCAAATGACGTCACTTCCGGTTTCGGGCAGGTCATGCGGTCATGTGATAGTTCGCGCTGATGGACGTAGGAAGTGTTACAAACAGCTGATGGATCGGCGAAGCGTGTTTCTGGAATATCATGTTTTGTTGCTGCAAGTGATTTTTATGCAGTTTTTGCAAAGCTATATGTGGAAGGAAACTGTGACCTAGGACAAGCTGATGGCATAAGATGTAAGTACAACTCCTCCAGTTTCATATGCAAAAAAATTATTGCGCTAGCTACGTGGTTGCAGAGCTACCAGGATTTAAAAATAGTTACGCAAAACAGAGCGTGCCCGCTCCGATCGGCTGTAAAGGGTTAATATGTTTTGTGTGTGGGGGGGCGCCAGAGGGAGTGTTCGCCCGGGGCGCCAAACAGGCTAGGACCGCCACTGCTCACACAAGTGAGTTACATGTCACACCGTGACAAGTCACTTACCATTGCAACACACAAAGGTAGTCATTTGGCTGTCAGCAGTTGTGAAAGTCATCTGACCTTGTATAAAAAATTCCTTAAAATGTTTTTTTTTTCTCTCCCCACTGACTCATCCCTGGCCAGGGTACTCCAGTCAGATTAGTACACCACCTGCTTTGTCTCACAAAGGGAGGAAGGGAGGCGCATCCGTGATATCGGTTCCAAAGCAAACACGCAGACAGGCGACCCCCTAAGAAAACAACTCCCCTACCTTTACTTTGCCTCAGTAAAGGGTAAGGGCATTTTAAACTCTACACCATGGCTATTCAACTACGAAGTTAGTTGGGCCAGATTTTCAAACCGAGGAATTTATCTGGGCCAGATTTTTTTTTTTTTTTTTTTTTTTGAAGCCAGTAAGCAGCAGATCATGATCAATTTCAAACCCACACAACTGTATTGAAAAACAAGTATTTTTTTTTATTCCTTTTCCCCTGTAAATCTGGTGACCTCTCACAAATGCACACCAAAAGGTCCGTTGAAAAAAAGGGAGCTATAACTAAACTATTTTTTGCACATTTGAAATAATAATAATAATAATAACAAAAAACATTTTGATAATTCCTTTTCAAATTAAAATAAATATTTCGCTGACCACTCGCTTTTCCTGCCATGGATGGAGCCCCATCCGTCACAAGTATACAGACACGCTTCATATCCAGACCATTTTCCTCAAAAAGAGCTTAAATCTTCTCAAACATTATTTCGCCAGCTGTGTGTCCCTCTAAGCCGAGCAATTTCCCATCCAAAAAACGGACATATACGCACAACTATGCATTATCAGTTCTGTCTGTGATCTCCTGCTATAGACATTACATCAGTTTTCTTCAGGTCATCTAACAGCATTTCAAACTCGTCTGACGCCAGAGCTTCAACTCTACGAATATTTGAACTGTCCTACAGGGGTACGTTTTTAATAGCAGATGTCACACTCACTTTTCACCGCATCCACCACGACCAGCATGCTGTATTTCACTGTTTCAGAATCTGTGAAAGGCCTTTTCTTCTTCGCCAAGAAGCAAACACGAAGGGAAGATGCTGCAGCTCTCTCTTGGGCTGTACAGGACCCTCACCGTGGTCGTACAACTCCGGTTGTAAGATTATTAAACTCGGTAAAACTAATAAGTATTTGTCAGTCCAGGCAGGGTTAAACCGACAGTTTTCATTGTCAATTTTGCGCTTTTGGAGTGAGAAAGACATGCTGTTGTTGCATCATATATTACGATGATTGTTTAATATGTTTACATCACGGTGCATTGCGGGTTAAATATTGCTAGGCTACTAGAAGTGTTGCATTCACAGTCTACACTACGCTGTAGGAATTTTTTAATTTTTTAAAAATTAATTAATGAATTAATTTTTTGCGTTTTCTCTGTGTTTCTGCCAGGACCACGGGCAGGGCCACTCGCAGGTTGCTTCTGGGCCGCATTTGGCCCGCGGGCCGCCATTTGAATAGGCTTGCTCTACACCGTCACTTTATAGCCCAATAACGGAGTGAGTTTAAATATTTCGATTTCGCTCCGAAATAGTTTGTATGATTTGTCCCTTGCTTGCATATTAAACTGGTCTAACATTTGACCAGCTTTCATTAAAAGAACAAACAAACAAACAAAAGCATATCAGAACATTTGGGTCAGCGAGAAAGAAGAAACGATGACATGTACTACGGAACTCTAACCGCACTTATGTAGAAGAAGGGGTGGTGCTATGGGGCTGTTATAGAGACAGAATCTTTGCTCTAAAGCTCAGTTCAGTAACGATGAGTAACACTGGACACTCAGTAAAATGCCACGATCTAACAACCATCTGGGATAAGGCGCAACAAACATGCATCCCGTGTGCGAAAACCCCTATAAAGCCAGGTAGGTCAAATATTATATTATATTATATTATATTATATTATATTATATTATATTATATTATATTATATTATATTATATTATATTATTATTCATGTAGGTCATGAAATTACCCCCAACTGTGGGTTTGATGATGACGGAGGGCGACACGAGGCACCAACAAAACCGTGCAAGACAAACACTTTTAACAATGGCAGCAGCTTCCACTGCACACTCTGTACCCTGTGTCCGTTTCAGACTGAGAGACCTTGCAACACAACAGCTGACACCGTTTGCGGCAAGGTGCCTGTTACGCAAAGGTAAGACAACAAGCACATCACTGTGAGAAACAGGTAAACAGCTGAGGGGATGTGATGGTCTCTCTGAACCGCAGGGGATTTTCATCAAAGTGTGTGTGTGTGTGTGTTTCACTATCTCTTTTACGGCTTAATAAGCAGGCACAATAAGAGCGCTTTCCTCTTAAAACTCTCGCTGTTTTATCTACAGACTTTCATTCCTCCCCACCCCTTTTCTGTTTTTCTGCAGAATCCCGACAACAGATTTCCCTGTCACAGTGAGTAGGCTTTTTGCATTTAGTGTAAATTGTAAATTTTACCAGTAATAAATAAATATATAGGGGTTGCCTGTCTGTGGCAGTAGTGGTACTAAAAATATGAAACACAACAGAAAGAAGCAACAGAAGATATTTGTGGAGAGCTGGTTAAGAAGGAGTTTCTTCCTCATCAGCAACAGCCAAAACATCCATTCTGTTTTCATTCCAGACTCTGGCATATCAAGGACCTAACTTGACACCAACCTCACCACCATCACGTTCTCACAATGTGTCAAGGGCAGCCTGTAAGTTACGCGTGCACTTCACTGTACACCTGAGACACCTTTCTTGACAGTTACATTTAAATGTAACCTTGACTTTTTCCTGTGTCTGCAGGGGCAGTACCATTAGCCATTTTAATTTCCATTGTGCTCGTTGCCTTGTCTGCTTATGTGTTTGGTCTTAAACGGAAAAGAGGTATGTATACCGAAACTAGACGATCGAAGATAAACAAATGTGCACACATCAAGGTCTTGGGAACTTAAGAAACGACATAAAAGCTGACCACTGGGTTTATAAAGAGAAGTTGCCATAAAATGTTACAGAATGTAATTTTACAACCAATATAGTAGGGTTATTTTTAAAATAACTTTAAAATACCCTCTAGCTTCAAGCTGGTGAATATGATTCTGACACTCTCTCTCCTCTGCCTTATGTAAACAGCAAAGGCTTTTTGCAGGCAACCCTCATATATAAATGACGGATTCGCCCCCCTGACAGGTTCATCTAATGGCAGTGACGTAGAGGACATACTTTGTGAGTCGAACTTAATGTTATCTCAAAATATACAACACCTATCCAAACCACTGTCTAGTGAGGGATAAAAGTGGGCGGAAACTGCCATTTTGTGTTCCTGTTGACGAATGAAAGTCTGTTTCATTAACCTACTGACATCATTCATTGATGCTCTTTTTCCCCTTTCAAAATGCAGGTGCAGACATCCTGTCTGCACCTCTACAGACCGTGCTGGACAACTTGGATGTTTTGGAAGAGCTGGTGATTTTGCTGGATCCAGAGAGCCATGTAAGAAAGAGCACAAAACATCTGGCGTCGCACTGCGCCTTCCCCTCCACCTGGATTACTTACACCTACTCTATGAAGGACAGCAAAAGCCCCCTAAAAGCTGTGCTGGAGGGGGTGACCTGCAAGAACCCCGACTGGACTGTAGGGCACCTGGCTAAACTGCTCAAACAAATGGAGCGTAATGACGCCATAGCTGCTCTTGCAAAACTTAAAACAAATAAGACTGAAGTGTAGCGACTGTTTAGCCCGACTCCCAAAAAGGCTGCTACGAGCACGGAGAGAAGCGGAGCGATAAAAGGCATGCCTTATGCGTCCAAGTTGATGACGGGGGAAGTCAAGCATTCCATAAAAAATTAAATAGCTTCTTCCATATTTGCAGCTTCATTTGTTATTACGTTTGAATAATTAATGTATTATTACCTACCTCCTGGAAAACATTTAACCTCGACTGCTGTATCCCATATAAACTGCTTAACACGTGCATGAAGGACAAAGCACAGAATCAGAATTTTAGCCAGGCTTTATCTTTACCCATCCAGCTAACGAGATGCCTTTTCCTCCAGTGAACTCAACCAAAATTCCACAGTTCCTGTTTTCCCCACCATCATATTTACCGCGACAGTATTCTTGTCAAAATAGAACAAATGAGTAATGTTTTTTTTAAATGTTAATCTGTTTCCAATTGTTGTTGCCTTTATAATACTATTGACCTATGCAAATAAAATCATTCACTCAGTCATTTCATCAAACATCTTAACATCTTTATTAAGCAAATAACATTATAAATAAAAAAAGTGCATAGAAAAATTAAACAGGTTTAGAAATATGTATACAAATATTTACAAACTCAGGGTTTATTTGTACATGGTAACAAAGACGTAAATTTAAAGAGCACATATTTTCTCATTTTGATGTCTTTTACACTTACGTTAAAATAACCCTACTATATATATATTTATATGTATATTTATATATATGTGTATATAGAACATACAGCTTTCTTAACAGATTCTGGGCGAGATGGTCATGATAACTTCAGGTTTTGACTAGTGCCTTGCATCCTTCATGGCACGCACGCACGCACACATACATAGAAATGACAAACATTTCCAAATACACACACACACACACACACACCTGGATATTAAAACCAAGCTATTTTTTTTAAATCATCATCCTCTCTTTTTGCATCAGTATTCCCAAACATCTGTCTAAACAGCTGAGGTAGAATCCTTGCAAGGAGTTGGGAGTGACTCTGCTCTTGTTATCAGCTAGGTGATTGACACAAGTTAACCTGGGCTCCATCCCAGTGATTGGACATGCAAGGTGGGGGGAGGGGTGGGTGGGTGATAAAAGACAAAACATGACATAATTTTGGAAAACATAATTATGGGCTTGAGTAGGCAAACAGTGCTCACTTTACTCCTGTGGCTGATTCTAAGACCATCAGTAATCTACATAAAAAAAAATAAAAGTAAAATAAAATAAAGATTCTTTAAAAATACCTGCTTTAGAACAATCTGTCATAAAGGCTTAATCGCACACCACAACTGCCCCAAAGAGAGAAAAAAAATTCAAGTAAGTTAGTGAAACAAAAGACATGATGTGTAAACAAAGCATACATATGGGAAAGGGGAAAGGGGAAGGGGGGGTTCACTAGACCGCCACCAATTTATACACAGCACAACCTTTAACCATTTAAAATAGAAATCAAAACATGAATAAATATAACTACCAATTTGAACAGTGTGTGAATTCAATTAGCCTCACCAATGACACCACTGAACATCCACCTACAACAATCATTATTTTAAAGGCAGCAATACCTAGAAAAGTCACGCACCTACACTGTCTTCTCGACCATCGCGGTGCAGGAGCTCAATGTACATGCTCAGTAGCAATGCCTTACACCAGTGCCCTCCCTGATCAAGAGAAACTGCAGAAGATTTCACGAAGATGAAGATAATTTGGATGTTTGATGGGTAATTATGTGCAACTGCAGGGCAGCAAAGTCTTATTGCAATAGGTAACAATGAGCATCTGCCATGAGAGTATTAAAATATATATATTTTTAAAAAAAGAAAGAAAGAAAGAAAAAGGAAGGAAATCTTCAATTTTGGCTTGGGTAGTGTTTTGCTACATACACTTTACATGAAAAAAAAAAACAACCAAAGAAAGAAAGAAAAAAAAAATACCAAGAGGACGTTTCTATGACACTGTTTTTCTGCTCTGAAACCAGACACTAATTTTACACTCAAGACAGGAAGAAAGTGGGTGACGAATAGCAGGTTTTGAATGTGAGATTTTACAGATAACAACAGGAGGACTTATAAGAGTGCATAAATTTAAGATCTCAGCAGGGTAAAGAAAGAGCTAAACAATTCCTGATTCGCAAGACATCTTAGTCCAACTAAAGACAAAGCTTTTAAAAAGCTTAGCACCATGTTTTTGTTTTGATTTTCTGTTATTCACAAAAAAGACAGAAAAAGGAAAAAAAAAGGGAAAGCGTTAACATAAGAAGTACTGAATCGTACAAATAAAGGTCTGGGTGATGTATGGCTTGAGAACTGACTTCACAACTACAGGGATGGAGCTGTAATGTAATGTGACAGATAAGGCTTGATCTGAGGTTATCTGCTCAAATCCAGAAACTCTCCACACTTTGAAATCTCCAGTTGTCACGAGCACCCAAAACTACTTCCTCTGATTTAATTACAGCTGCAAT